TTTCCTGTTTATTTTTTACATTTGTGACTTCCTAAAGCCCACGTTGAAGCGCCCACCACAGCAAGAATGTTGTTAGCAGGATTATTATTAAAGTTGGGGACTGCCGGTTTTTTGCGTATTATGGGGAGTATAAATTTTATTTATAACAATTTTTGAATGTTGATCTCTTTATTGGGGATAATTTTGGCAGCTTTTAGGTGTGTTTTTCAAAGTGACTCCAAGTCATTGGCTGCGTATTCATCTGTTACTCATATAAGTTTTTTGTTGTTGTCTTTAAGAATGTTAATATTAAGGGGGGTGTTAATTGTAATTTGTTATTTGTTTTTTGTATCTAGTAATATATTAATATTATATATGTTTTTTGAACTTTCAATGTTTCCTATTTTAGTAATGATTTTAGGTTTTGGTTCACAAATTGAAAAAATTAATTCGGGTTATTATTTACTTTTTTATGCTAGTTTGTGCTCTTTTCCTTTTTTATTTATTTATTATAAAAGATTGTTTGTTATTAGATTTTGTTATTTTGATTTTTTGTTAAGTTGAGAAATATTTTTTGTTTTAACTTTAAGGTTTATAATAAAGTTTCCTGTTTATTTTTTACATTTGTGACTTCCTAAAGCCCACGTTGAAGCGCCCACCACAGCAAGAATGTTGTTAGCAGGGTTATTATTAAAGTTGGGGACTGCCGGTTTTTTGCGTATTATGGGGAGTATAAATTTTATTTATAACAATTTTTGAATGTTGATCTCTTTATTGGGGATAATTTTGGCAGCTTTTAGGTGTGTTTTTCAAAGTGACTCCAAGTCATTGGCTGCGTATTCATCTGTTACTCATATAAGTTTTTTGTTGTTGTCTTTAAGAATGTTAATATTAAGGGGAAAATTAAGTGGCCTAATGATAATGTTGGCTCACGGCTATACGTCAACGTTAATATTCTATATAATTGGGGAATTTTATCATGCCAGATCAAGTCGAATAATTTATTTTTTAAATAGTTTTTTGAGCTCTAGAATATTATTTGGTATTTTATTTTCTTTGGTATTTTTATCCAACAGCGGTGTACCCCCTTCATTGTCTTTTTTATCGGAATTTATTATTATTGTTAATAGATTTATGCTAAGAAAAATATTATTTTTTATAATTTTTGTGTATTTTATAGTGGCCTTTTATTATTCTTTGTTTTTAATCACTTGTTCTTTTGCTGGTAAAATTTATATAAGCTACAACAATTGAAATTTGGGGGTCATTTTTTTTTGTATTTTTATAATATACAATGTTTTTTGGCTGTCATTGTTTTACTAAAATAATAACTCAAATTTCAGTTTTTTTGTGTTTAAGAGTCAATTTTTATGTAAGAAAAATCTCTTAAATTTTAAATGTATATAAAAAATATCAAGGTGGTTTGTCGGTGTGGTTGGAAAGATCCAATCATAAAGATATTGGTACTTTATACTTTTTGTTTGGTTTGTGATCGGGTATAGTGGGTACTAGTTTGTCTCTTATTATTCGTTTAGAGTTAGCTAAACCCGGTATTTTGTTGGGGAATGGTCAGCTTTATAATTCTATTATTACTGCTCATGCTATTTTAATAATTTTTTTTATGGTTATGCCAAGAATAATTGGGGGTTTTGGTAATTGAATGTTACCGTTAATGTTGGGGGCTCCGGATATAAGTTTTCCCCGTCTTAATAATTTAAGTTTTTGGTTATTACCAACAGCAATATTTTTAATTTTGGATTCTTGTTTTGTAGATATGGGGTGTGGTACTAGATGAACTGTTTATCCGCCTTTAAGAACGTTAGGTCACCCGGGTAGAAGTGTTGATTTGGCTATTTTTAGTTTGCATTGTGCGGGTTTAAGTTCAATTTTGGGTGGTATTAATTTTATGTGTACCACCAAGAATTTGCGTAGTAGTTCTATTTCTTTAGAACATATAAGGTTGTTTGTGTGAACTGTGTTTGTTACTGTGTTTTTGTTGGTTTTGTCTTTACCGGTTTTGGCTGGTGCTATTACTATGTTGTTAACCGATCGAAACTTAAATACTTCTTTTTTTGATCCTAGTACAGGGGGAAATCCTTTAATTTATCAGCATTTGTTTTGGTTTTTCGGTCATCCTGAGGTGTATATTTTAATTTTACCTGCTTTTGGTATCATTAGTCAATCTTCGTTGTATTTAACTGGAAAAAAAGAGGTGTTTGGTTCATTGGGTATAGTGTATGCTATTTTAAGAATT